TCAAATTTACATTCATAACATCCATCTCCATCATTATAATTGCCATCATCACATTATTCCATTGAAGATTTAGCTACTTAACCATCTCCACAATATTGATAACAACTATAATCTATAAGTTGCCAACCGTCAAGACATTAATAACATTTATTTCCAACACAATTTAAACATTCCAATAAACAACTTTATTCACATTTGTAACATCCATCAAATTATATGTTATTTTTATCATCACATTATTCTCTCTCTATTACAATTCCATCATTACATAAGGGAGTACATATCTATTTATTATTTTCCAATGTATAATATTCATTGCATTCTAGACATTTATCATAAAGACTTTCCTTACAATATTGTATAACTGGTATTCTACATTAATTATAAAAATATCCAAAGATTCCAAAATCTTTTAGGTTACATGTTAGACTACTTACTAATTTATATTATGAATTTTAGTTATTAAATAGATAATGTTATTAATGACCCAATTCAATCAAATTAAGAATTCTATTAATACAATTTCTATTTTCTTAATCATCATAAATTTCATAACCATCACAATTATATTTACAATATCCATTTATTAATTCATATCTAGGTTAACATTATTAGCATTTTCCAAATTAACATTTACTACAATTCAATGGACATGAATATTTACACATATAACATCCATCATACTCTACTTGATTACCATCATCACACTCTTCATTACATGTAATAATTAAATCTCCACATTTCTTTTTACTATATTATTTTAATCTCTTTTCATTCATCTAATATTAAGTTTCACAAGTTAAAAATAACCAACTTAATTCATTTATATATTAATAACATTCTAATGAATCATACAAATATTAGCATTAATTGTGATTTTTATTTTTCTATGCAATTGGTAATTTCAGATTTAAATTGTCACTATAAGACTAATTTTAAAATTCTAAGTATGAAGTTTTCCATCTCAAACATTATCCAAATTAGCATAATAAACAATCTTATTAACATGAGTATTTACATTAATAACACCCATCATATTGATATGTGTTACCATCATCACATTCTTCAAAATATGTAATTATAGAATCACCACATATTGGTAAACAATTCTTATTTTATTCATAATATTGCCATCCTTCTTAACATTCCAAACATACACCTCTTAAACAGTTCGAACAACCTTCAACACAATCATAAATCTCAGCAAAGCATCCATCAAATGGATAGATATTTTCATCAAAGCAAAAATCATAATTTAGAATAGGTCTGATAAATAATTAAAAATCTCTAATTCCTTAATATGCATCAAATGAAGGCGTTAATATTGAGGAAGATATCATTCTAATTGTTAAAGTAATATATTATTTTTTATGCTTATATTAATGAATATTGATCTAATTTGTGATTAAATAACAATAAATATAATTTGAAACCAAAGATACTTACCTTGAAACAGATGAATAAATTACTACATCATTATCAATTAGAATATTATACACGTGTTAATAATTTAGCGTTATTATTTTCATTTAAACACTAACAGCATCATGTGGCGGTAGATATATTGTTTTAGTAGATTAGAAACTACTTAATAGTTAAATATAATAATCTAGGATAATTTATTTTACTACCTCCAATGAACATTTATTAGTTGTATATTACCCCATTTTAGGTTAGCCATCCTTCAAAATTTTAAAAAGTTTTGGTAGTAAAATATTGAATAAATAGTATTTAATTAAAGCACTCATTCTAGTCACATGAATCACAACCATCTGGGCATTTTTCTATGAATAATTACAAATCTGAAATTCCCCAATATCCCTCGCCTGTCATTAGTATTTAGGTAGTTGAGCTTTAATGATAAGTATTCAAATCCAGTTCAAAAATTTCATCATTATAATTGGAATTTCCACAAAGATTATTTGAACTTGAACTATGATAATATAATTCATTATGCTTTTCAATATTATCTATATAAACTTTAAATCTATATCCATTCCAATTGTCTATTCTATAAATATTTCTTAATATTAAACCTCCAAAATAAAAATTTTAATCTTAATTTATAATGAGGATTGAGCTCGATAGTTTTTACTATGAAAGTTCCTGAGCCAAAACATTAACCTCCAAAAATTTATTTTGATTGGCAAGTGTACTACTAACAACTCGATGATGATATATGCCAATCTAAAAATGAAAATTTGATCTTAAATTTACCTAAAGAGAAATTTTGAAAAAAATTTTCATAAATAAGGGTTTCAGACTAACACCTTATGATCAAATACAATTAGATGAAGCTTATAAAAATTTTCATTGGATTAAAAGAAATTTTTATAAAATTTAATAATCACTTTATAGATACATTTTGATTTATATATATGAGGAAAAAGCAAAACTACATGAATATTTTAAACGTCTTTCAAGAATGATATTAGTAAATCTAGGATTAGCAACTATCTTAAACCTATTTTTTTCTCATGAACTAATAATAATTGTTTTTCAAGAAATTAATAAACTTTAATATCTATTTTATTGAATAGATAATTTATATATATATATATATTTATAATATTGTAATTTAGTATATAATATGCAATAATTTTATTATTTTAAATCTAATTTTTTCAATTTCTTATTTCATTTTTATTTCTTTAAATAAATACAATAATATTATATAAAACTTTTTATTTTAATTAAGCAAGGAATATAAAAAATTTAGATAATTATAATTTATTTGTTATAATACTGCTTAATCAATCAATAAATTTAAAATTCTTAATATTCTAATAATTAATAATTTATAAAATAAATATTATGCACAGTTTTTTCATCAAACATTTTTAGTTACATATCTTCCTATGTATATAAAGAAAACTAAATATATTTCAAATACAGCTAATTATATTTTACAATTAAATCTTCAAAACAATGTTTAATATCCTCAATTTAACTCATTAAAATTAATATCAAAAAAGAAGGGATATGGCAATGAAATCATGATTTACCCCATTTTCAAGTATATTTTAACACCTTACAGGATTATCAATATTCAAGTTTTCATATACCAACTCAAGAATATCTTAATCTCTATCCATAAAGTATTTGTTATATTTTTCCTTTTATCTTGTAAAATTAGAACAAAATCGTTTTTATCAACAGAATTAAACTTGAGTATTAAATTATAGAAGAGAAATTAAAAAAATATAATAAAGTCTACCTATGTTTATAAAATGGGTTATTATTTTAATTTAGTAAGTAATATATTTAATTTCTTTAAATTAAAGACAATATTTCAAAAAAATTAGTGAAATTAGTTTAATTTAAATAGATATGTTTATAATTTATTAATAAGTGGATTGAATTAAGAAAGAAGATTTATTGATGGGTTATTCGAAAATAATTGAAACTTGAACACCAAACACATAGGAATACCTTAATAATTTAATATGTTATAACAACAAAGCATTGAAAAAACATAATGACATCCAAACTTGATAAATAACTAAGATTGCGTAAATTAAAAAAATTTTAATACATATATATATTTGTTTTATATAATATAAATTAATTATTAACAGTCAGATGTTCAATAAAGTTGGAAATAAAGAAAATAAATATACTTTGAAGACTGATGAATCGAATATTGAAGAGTTACCACATATTACAAAAATCAAAAGTGATCATTTAGAACAATTAATATTTAATGCTAAATTATATACAGAGAATCAAAATCTTGATCAAATGAAAAAATTTTTGATTATGAATTATAAAAAATTCAATGATTTGTAAAATACCATAGAATAGCTTGAATCTGAATTAGAATAATTGAATAAATAAGAATCATAATTTGAAAATTAATATTAAGAAAAAAATTAAGAGAATGAATTCCAAATGCTTTAATAAAATTTAGAAGCATTATAAAAGGAAGAATAATAATATTAACAACAAATAAAACAAAAATAATTATAATTGCAGCATTAAATGTTTTATAGAGAATATTAATATATGTAATAAGAGAAACAAGGTTTGATAGCTTAAAATGCAAAATTACTTTAATAAAAATAATCTACTCATAGTTGATTGAATATATTTAATCAGATTTTTTATATGTATGTATTTTTGATTTCACAAATATAGTGATAAAGTAATAATATATATATAAAATGTAACCACCAGTATTCGATAATCAATTAGATCCAGAAGAAATGGAAGCTTGGCTTGCAGAAGTTGAATTAGTACATGAGAAAATAAAGAAATTGTCAAGTGAATAGGTATTGTGATAATGGAATATTTAAAGGCAAATGCAAATGATGATGATGAAGAGATAATTAAGATAAGATAAAAACGATTAGAATAAGAGAAAAAGAAAGAAGATGCTAAAAAATAATTATAGATTTAGAAAGAGGAAGAAATAAGAAAAGGGAGAAAAGGAAAAGGATAAAATAAAGATTATGCTAGTTTTTGCAAATATTGCCAATTAGAGTATGTTAAATAAACAGATTAATGTTATTGGTGTAAAAGAGAGACTTTGACATAGGAATGTAAAATTGATAGAATAATCTAGAACGTTACAATTAATTATTAGAGAAGGTTGAGAAATATAAAGAAGACAAAAATAGAAAGCAATAGAAGAAATAGAAATTTGAGTTAATGGAGAAAACAGAGAAAATCTTATGGAAAAAGAGTACATTTACACATAAGAAATGGGAATATTATACAAGTTCAGAAGAAGAAATTGAATCTGAACCAATAGTTCCTAAAGATGATCCAAATTTTAAAGCCTTAGAATTAGATATGGAATAGAGAAAGAAAAAGAAAGAGGAGGATATGAAAAAGGCAGAAGAATTAAAAAACAAAGGAAATGAGTATTATAGTAAAGGTGATTATGATCATGCAGCTTGGAAATACTCTTAAGCTCTTGAATTAGTAAAAGATAATAAAACTTTGTGGTTAAATAGAGCTATAACATACATAAAATCAAATAAAAATAAAAAGGCTATCAATGATTGCACAAAAGTCATAGAATATGCTGAATGTTTTGAGAATGGTTATACTTAGAGTAGAGACAGTTGTTGTAAAGCATTTGCTAGAAGAGCATTGGCATATTATAATAGAGATCGTTTATTAGAAGCACTTAATGATATTAATCAAGCTTTAGAACTTATACCAGATGATAAATGGGTTTAAAATCTTAAAAAAGAAATAGAAGCTAAAATAGATCATTATTAAAGATTAAAGCAAAATGAAAAAGAAGAGAAGGATGAAGAAGAACCAAAATAAGATAATCAAGATTAATAAGAAAATAGTATATAGTAATAATAATAATATAGATAATGTAAAAGATAAAAAAAATTTTATGGATGATAATCTCACTTATAAATAATTAATAGATAAATTTGTTGGAGAGGAGGAAATTGAACTCTTATAATTATTTAAAGTGTTAAAAGTTGATTCAAATGAAGCCACAGCTTATTTTTATGAGAAAAATGGGTTGAAATAATTATTAAAAATAATATCAAAGAATGATGAGAAATTGCATGATTTATAAAACGTAAATATTATTATTAATAGTAGATTTTGGCAAGTTTACCTGCTTTGATTTTATAAGTTTATTAAGATAAAAGTTTATTGTATTAGGAATAATTTTTAATTTAATATAATGGAATTGAAGTTATTTATGAAAAAATTAAGTAATTATTGAAACGAGTTGAAAATAAATCTTAATCTGCTATTTATGATACAATATCAGATTATTTAGATGTTTTAAATGTGATGGATGAAGATAAACCAAGATCTATAATACAACAGCATGAAATTATCAGAACTAAGTTATATCCTGAATTATTTTAAAGAATTATTTCTTTATATAAAACAGAAAAAGATGTTGTTGCTACTTTTTTAAGTTTCTGCAGTAATTTATGCTATGGGTAGAGTACACCTTTAAAAAATGTGCTTTTTGTAAATATATAAGAAATTATTGCTAAATTTGTAGAAATATTTGAAAAAGCAGAAATTAAATAAGCAAATATTAGAATGATGAATTAATTATGCAATTTGTTATCAAATCTGTTAACTGAAGAGAAATATAGGTTTTACTTTTTATCAAAAGAATTAAATCCAAATTTTTTTAAGGTTTATCTTAAATTTATCAAAGCTGTATAATTTAAAGATAATGAATATAATTCATTAAAATAAAATGGAATTGCTGTTTTGGTTAATTTGACATTTTAAATCAATTAAGTTTAATCAGAATATGTTAGTAAAATTAATCTATTGATTCCTACTTTAATTGAATATTTAGAGACTTAATAAGATGGTTTAGTGTTAGAAAGAGTCTTAACAGTATTATCTAAAGTAAATTACGAAGAAAATATATTTATTATAACAAAATTTATAAAATAATACAGTAATTAATCAATTAGATGTTTACTTTAATGGCTATCAAATAAATCTCCTTAAGTGGTTGATCAATTAAAATAAAAGTAAACATTATTATATGAATTATTGGAATAATTGAAATAATAATTGCAAAGTGATAATGAAATAATATATTGTAATTGCTGTAATGTAATTGGTTATATAATTGATTTATTATCACCAATTAATGGTGAGAAGAATGCCTGTTCATTTTTTAATTAGATGATTCCTAGATTGTTAGGTTTTGTGAAAGATAGAACTGGCAATTTTAGAAAAAATTCTGCAATTCTTTTGGCAAAATTAACAAAAGATTAGAGCAATTTACAAAAACTAAGAGATCTACATGGAATTGAAATTTTATAATCAGTGATGGGTAAATTGTGAATAGTATTATAATATATTATATAAATATTTAAATTTGATTATGCTCTCAAAATAATAGAAATTACATGAAATACTATCATAGAGCATATTGAAAACGTATGTTTAGAATAATAATTAGTTCAACTACAAAAGCATCATAAAAATTAAGTTAATCGTTCAATACTAATGGATTAATAGGACAGTCATTGAGTCCAAATTAAAAAACAAATTAAAGTATGGGATAAAAAAAAACGAATAATACAATATAGTATCAAAAAGAATTATTAAAATTAATGACAAATAACAAATAATAATCATCAGGAAATAAAAAAGCAAATATGTCAGATATGATGAGTTAAAAAAAAGAAAGTAAAAGAATCAATTCTGGTATAAGTCAACCATAGAAATCATAAACATCAAACAAATTGAGTTTTGTTAATACAGATATTACAATAATTGTGAATCATGAAAATCAATAAATTAAATTTAATATTGAATCTTCAAAAACAACAGGATGGTTAGAAGAATATTTAAAATAAGAAATGAAGAAATATTCAATACATTAATATTCATCAACAGGTTCTTAACCAGATGAAAGAAAAGTAAATTGTGGTACTGGAAATGAATCTTCAGATTTAGATATAGTTTCATTTCATACAGTTGATAAAAATCTACCTATTGATTATTATTTGCAATAACCTAATAAAAGTTTAGAAATATTTAGCGGATAAACATTAAATTTATAACCATTTTATGGAACATCTTAATAAAGCAAAATAACACTTAAAGATTTCATTTTTGTAAAATGTATTGGAGTAGGTGGATTTTCAAGAGTTTATATGGTCAAAAAAAAATCTAATGGAAGATTCTATGCTATGAAATTAATTGATAAGGAATTTATTATATAAAATAAGAAATAGGGTATGATTAATTAAAAATTAATTAGGTATTGTATAAAATGAAAGAGATATCATGACAGTTCTAGATCATCCTTTTATTATTAAATTAGAATATGCATTTGAATCTAAAAATTTTATTGTATTTGTGTTAGAATTTTGTAGTGGAGGAGAGTTGTTCTAGTAATTAAGACAAGTAAAAAGAATGACAGAAGATTAAGCAAGATTTTATTTTACTGAAATTTGTTTAGCTATGTTTTATCTACATTCATTATCTGTTGTTTATAGAGATATCAAACCAGAAAATATATTAATAGATTTAGATGGACATATAAGAATAGCAGATTTTGGATTATCAAAACCAAATATGACAGAAGAGGATTATGCATATAGCTTTTGTGGTTCACCAGAATATATGGCTCCAGAAATGTTATTAAAAGTAGGACATAATGTTTAGGTCGATCATTATTGTTTAGGAGCATTACTATATGAATTAGTTACTGGATTACCTCCATATTATTCTAGAGATACTGATGAGATCTATGAATCAATACTAAATGAAGAATTAACATTTCCTGAAAAATTAAATCTATCTTCTGACATAAAGGTACTTTTACTTTATACATAGAATCTTTTACAAGGTTTATTATGCAAACAACCTTCAGAAAGATTGGGAGCAAATAAAGGATTGACAGAACTACTTACACATTCCTGGTTTAAGGATGTTGATCTTATAGCAATATTATAAAAGTTAGTTCCTCCACCTTTTAAACCAAATCAATTGAAATTTAATTATGACTAAAATGATCTAATGAAAGGAGAACTGGAAACAAGAGAAAAATTATTAGGAAAGTCTGGATTGAAATAAGAAATTAGAATATTTAAAGCCTTTTATTTTGATTCCAACGAATAGTTGTAAATGAAATAGGAATAAGCCAAAATATTAAAATAACATTTCATGATGATCACTCAATAATAATTAGCACTTAATACTAAGTTTAAACCATAAAAAAAAAGTAATGAACTTAAAGAACATTAATCAAAAAAAGCATCTCCATAAACTCGCAACAACAAATAATCGAAACTCACTTCTGAGTAATTCTAGTCTCTCTAAAAAAGAATTAAATCTTAGTATAATTCTATTTTATTCTAGATAATCCTCAATCACTAATGTCTAATAAGTCAGCTCTGTTACAAGTCCTGCTTAATCAAAAGGTTATGGATTAAATAGAATTAATTCTTAAAATAATTTCTTTCCTGATCGATAAAATACATTACCTAATGGATAAAAAGAGCTAGATTATAATTAATTGTTGTCAAATGTCTCGACAGAACAAATGCTTCATATGAGAGGATCCTCTTTAAAATAAAGAAAAAAATGAATTTCTAAATTAAACATTCATT